CCCCCATCTGAGTAGCCACACTTACTCAAATTTCTGCAAAACTCACATATCTTGACTGGGCTGTTGCACTAGAAAACAACAGGCAAAAAATAAACCTATAGGGTGGGGAAAAAAATCCTTTGCCATACAGTTTTCCTCATACCTCAACTGACACGTAGAACATGTCCTCTTGTATTTTATTTCAAAAACTGTGCTGCAAATTCAAAGGGAAGTTCTCTCCCATAACAAAGTAAGTGAAAAGAAACCCCAAATGCAACCAGCATGTAATAAGAATTTTATTGAATATATTTAGAAAAAACTAGAGCATGAAGACATGAGATTAATTCCTGCGTGTAAATTTTATGAATGTGCAGAATCAAACAGCCATGCAGAAAGTCATCTCCTCCCTTCAACTGTAATTCAAGACTCTTATAATGGCAAAATTATTACCACCTTAGAACAGTGTTCCAGACACACAACTCATTACTTTAAAAAGAATCTCCTTGCTGAACAGAAACAAAAAAAGATTAGTAGCAACTGGGAAAGACCAACGATTAACAGGTACGGTATTTAATCAATAGTTAAACCACGTTTAAAGAATGCAAGCCAAAAAAACATCATTAAGTAGATTTTTTTTTTTCCAGGCAAAATTCTGAGTAGAACTAGTTCCTAAACTACTGAAATGGTGACTTGATATGCACGTGATCCAGAGTATCATCCAATGGAAGATTTTTTTGTCATGTTGTATCAGTGCCATATATGACCTAAGAGTCAGAGTAGCTGAACAGCCCAGTGCTTAACAGTATATTAGCATTAAAATAAATTCTAATTCCTCCAAGAGATGTTGTTACAGATACAAGATCACAGAATCATTAAGGTTGGAAAACCCTCTAATATCACCAAGTCCAACTGTTAAGCTAGCACCACCACCATGTTCACCTCTAAACAATGTCCTGAAGTGCCATACCCACTTGTTTTTTGAACACTTCTAGGGATGGTAACTCTGCTGCTTCCTGGACAGCCTGTTCCAATGTTGGACAACCCATTCTGTGAAGAGAATTTTTCCTAATATCTAATCTAAGCCTCCTCTGGCACAACTTGAAGCCATTTTCTCTTGTCCTATCATTTGTTACCTGAGATAGAATCATAGAATCAACCTGGTTGGAAGAGACCTCAAAGATCACCAAGTCCAACCTTACAATCGTTACTAGACCATGGCACTCAGTGCCACATCCAACAATCTCATCTTGAAAACCTTCAAGAATGGTGAATACACCACCTCCCCGGGCAGCCCATTCCAATGCCTGATCACTCTCTCCATAAAATATCTCTTCCTAATATCCAACCTAAACCTCCCCTGGCAGAGCTTGAGTCTGTGCCCTCTTGTCCTACTGCTGGTTGCCTGGGAGAAGAGACCAACCCCCACCTGACTCCAACCTCCTTTCAGGTAGTTGTAGAGGGTGATAAGGTCTCCCCTGAACCTCCTCTTCTCCAGGCTAAACAATCCCAATTCCCTTAGCCTCTCCTCATAGCACCTGTGCTTGAGGATATCATGTTGTGTAGGCAATGTGTAATGTTAGCTAAAAAAATGGGGTTATACACGAGGGCAAAAATTAAGATTGCTATCACAAACTTGCATACCCATGCAATTTTTCCTATTAAAAAGGGATTGTGAAGGTAGTCTTATATGCACCTGGACAGTCAGTTCTGACACATGTAACATGCTGTCTACATGTGTAACATGGAAACCCATACTGAAACACACTACAAGCTTTTAAAGACCGGTTAATTATAAATAGAAATTTAGCGAGACTGCATCAAGTTAATCCACTTGTTAAATACAGTACTTCTGAAAACATGACAAAAGGGTAAATTTAACACCATGTATTCCTGTTCATACTTGTTTGCAGTTTAGTTCCACTATTACTAGAAAGGTGAAAGCTTGTGATCAAAGATCAATTCACTTACTTTACAAATCTTGCTTTTGAGAAAGTATCATGGTTGCTTTCGTAGACTACAGTTGGCCTCAACGTTTTCCTCCATATTTACTAATAAAAGTTACAGCTAAGCCAATATTCTATCTAAGTGTCAACTACCACTATTCAAGTAAAAATGCCATTGCATGACACACCAGGATCAACCATTGGTGTGTTGAGCAACTGCTCAAAACTCTCAAGTTCACGAAGTGATACAGCTCTTACAGCTTGATGATGGATGCAGACATGGTAATAAAAAACTGCTAAGAATTACTGCAGTTAAACAAGAGTTATGGCAGTCTAGACCATCTGAAAGTTTTATCTTTTTATTTTAAAAAGCATCACAGGCCACAGAAGACTATGCTATTACTGTAAAACCTATACCTTCTTGCCTGATCAAAGCTGGTGCTTTTTTTATGGTTGTTTCTTTTGGTTGGCTTACTTTTTTAAACAGGTAAATTTTTAAAACAGTGGTTTTACTGCCACTGATGGGGAAAAGTCATTTTAGAACTCCTGAAGTATCTTTAGTTTTGTGCTGAAATTATGAACAACAGGAGAAGAGTAGGAGGAATGAATAAAAAGCAAAAGCAAAACTGAGGAATGTGCTTACAGAAGCTTTTTTCTACTTATGGCCAAGGTGACCCAGCTACCAATAAATTGTAGTTTAAAAGAGTGCAACAAATAGTTACAGGGACCCAAAGCCTGCAGCATTAACAGCAGATGGTCTATTCATCCACGTTTAGGGTTTAATATACTAAGGGAGGGAGAACATGACTTACTTTAACACAGAAATTCTGTTTTCCGAAGAAATTCCATTTCCCTTGTAGTTCTTTAAAATGGGTTTTACATTACATAAATCTACTGCATGTGAGCATGCAAAAAAAACTCTGAAAATATGTTTTCCACATTTTTTTAACAGAAGATAGTTAGGGTATTTATATATCCATATGGATAGACACATTTGAACTTGCTTGTTAAATAAGAACTTTCTCCTGGCATTTATACTACTACTTATTTTGCTGTCCAAGTTCAGAGTTCTGCACATACAAACACAGATGGTATGCTAGTAGCTACAGCTAGCTAGAATTTTTCATCCAGTGAAGTGATTGTTCTCAGTATTATACTAATAAGTGCTTCACTTGTTGGTTCAGAACACATCAGGGAACATCTCTTCCATTTTCAGAGCACCACTTGGCAAGCGTACATTTTTGTAAGCTTATATCCTATCACTTCACAGACTTTGACATTTTAAAATTTATTAAAAAAAAAAGAAAAAAGGCATCATTAGAAGTTAATAGAATCTATTCAGCAGAACACAGAGCTAGAATTTTTAATAGGGGCCCAAGGGAATATGCAACCACGCTCCCTTCAAGTGAACAAGGAAAAAAGATCTTGAAATGAAGGCAAAGAAGCACCAAAAGAAATTTCCTATGTACATCACTGGTGTTAATTCTTGGTGTTTGTGTACAGTTTCTTTGGTTAATGTATTTATCTCCTACTACTTCAAGCATGAAGTAGGACTTCAAGTACTGTTAGAGACAGAACTCTGAGCTCAAGTCAAATTATACCTGTTGGAAAACAGCAAGATTCTTAGAATTACATATTTCACTTCAGACAGCCTTTACTACGTCCTGTGTTTCTCCTGGCATTATTCCAGATCTGCCAAGGTTGGTACATGAGCATCCAACACATTTTAACAGTCCACAGGACTGCTTGTTTACATATATAAGATTTGGCACAATAAATAATGGCATGCATTTAGTATGACAAAATTATTTTTATTTCAGCTGCAAAGCCAAAATTAAGAAACTATTCCAAGCAGAGAGACAAAGCAACATGACTGCATGTTTTGCTGCTTGGATAAAAATCTCATCTTTCTAACAATTCTGTTTTCATCCACATCTTTCCTGATGAAGTACTGAAAACAAAAATGCTGTCCTGACTTCTGATTACAGTCTGTTCAAAAGAAATAGTATTTTTAAAAATATTTTAATTCAAAAGTACAATTACAGTTTGAGACAGACATTTTAAAGCTTGTTGTTTCTCCTAAGATTTGCCCTGTAGATAAATTCAGTTCATAGATTACCATCCTCAGAGTCAAAAGCTATACATATCTATATGGAAATAATTTTCCCAAGACACCTACAGTATGTCCTGCCTTGCCCTACTACACATATCCACCTTTGAAAAAAATTGTGAGATTCTGAATGTTGTAGAATAGGACAGAATATACATTCTAAAGACTGTCAAATATATACAGCACTTTGGTAATTTTACAATAGTCTGTTTGTATACTCTTCACAGCTGAAATGTTGTGTTATGGAGCCATTTCACTGTCTATTTGCTTTTATATTTAACCATTCAAATAACCAATGTAAAGGAGTAAAAAAGAAAAAAACATCCCTTCTTGCCAGCTTTTTGTTTTCAGCTGATCTCCTGCTTTTATACCTGAAATACAGCAAGTCAGCAAGTACTGAAAACTTTAACATAATCCCATTAATTCCATCCCTCCATAGCCAACAGGTATTGAAACAAACCTTCATTTCAGAGGACAAAAGTGCAAGTCTACATATGTTATTTCGTATTTATGTTTATGTAACCTTTTATTCTAGATGTAGAATTGCATGCTAATTTAGTCACACTCATGACTTTTTGTATCTGCATTACTTTATGCTTCATAGTTAACAGTGTTGAATTTAACATGGGCTACCAAGTACATCCAGTCTAAACTGAACACACACTGTGGACTGAGAACACATCTATTGGGATAGTCAGTGCATGGTATACAAGGTGGCAAGCAAAGGGCAATAGCTCCTTCACTCTAAATTCCCATGGAGACACTGCATCTAGTACAAATATACTCTTGGGAGCAAGAGCAGAAATGGCTATTACCCTTCAAGTTTACACTGCCATTTACTGTGCGTCAAATTTCTTTGTAGAAGGGAACAAAATCTAGCATTAAAAAAATCTATATAAAAGTTAAATACTTCATTACAGTAGCAAGTCACCACTTCATAATGGGAAATAACTTGTCTCTTGGAATCATTATTGATCTGAACTCTCTTGTTTTGGTTGTGTGTTGGAAACTGGTAATTCAAGGCTTGCCCATAGCAGGGGCTCTGCCTTTCTCATTGTAAGCTCAATCTTTGTAGCTGTCATGTTCACATAACTCCTCTTGACATCAATTACCTAGAACACAAAACATATTTCACATTTAAATTTAAGAAACAGACTGCTAGATAACTGAGTATTAAATTAAGGAGGACCTCATCACTGAATTTCAGCAGATGTTTAGGTTGTAGACATTATTAGTAAATGTATTTAATAGATCTTTAGATGTTTAGGAGATCCCTTTGTTACCTTGAGAATTCAGCTCTTTCTCATTCCCAAGCTATGGAATGTTTATGGCATAAACATATGACTATGCATATTTAACATAAACAGGCTAACACATGTATAAGTATGCAATTACATATTGCCAAGGGTTTTCTGCAACACCGCTACCATGGTACTGGGATCAGAAAGGACCCTGGAAGGTCATCTTCTGTGCAGAGCAGTCAATTACCATGTCATACCAGATCACTTGGGGCAGTACATTAGATGTAAATGTCACTACTGAATGATGTGCACCTGAATTTCTTTCAATAAACAGGGCAATGAGGAAAGCCAAACTGTCCAGAAAGAAAGGAAGCTGAGGCTTGTGTTTTGGGGTTTTTTCCTTCATTTTTTGTGGGTGTGTTTTGGGGTTTTTTTAATTTGGTTTTTGTTAATTTGTTTGTTTTGCTTTGGTTTTGTGTGTGTGTTGGTTGTTTTAATAGAAAAATTATTCTTATACTTACTCCCCATAATTTCACACTGCGATGAAATTCCTTTTCTCCTTCAAATACAATATGCATATTTACCTTAACAGGAAATGCAGCAGAAGATTAGAAAATTTTATCAGGTGGTTAAAACATTTGACACCTCAAGCATATTTAAGCAAAATATATCATGTGAGGATAATGACCAAAGTGGCCAAATTGTCCCTCAGGAATAGGAGCGAATATGTATTCTATTAGATCCTGATAAATAACATAGTCAACAGTGGCCACTGGAAGCTGTATTGTTTTTTCTGCAACACATGATTAAGAAATCAGAGAAGCATTTTAACAGTTGTTTAATGTTAGTAGCTGTGAAACAGCATATTATAAAGAATGATATTAAATTACTCCAAGTTGAATATAATTAAATTATGAATTTATAATTATTTACACATACGGTGAAGCAAATCCATCACACTTGGGTTTTAATTGCAGAAGTCAAATTTAAGACTTTTTTTTTCCATGCTATATTGCAGCTTTGAAAAAAAACCCACACACTAAAGTGCAGATGTCCAAACAGATGGGGGGAAGAAAAAAAGCCATACATACTTGAACACAAATGCCAAGAAAAAGCCATTACTCAAAAAGGATTTTTATGCTACCTCTGCCTTGAAAATAAAGCATGAAATAAGCAGATTTTCCCTAACTTCAAGTTGCTGATCTTAAGGTAGATCCTCACCATTGTGCTGTTTGCTTCTACGTAGCTCAGATCAGGAACTGAGTTTTTAGCATATACAGAAATAGTCACTTCTCCTCCAGTCTGGTGCCAATCATGTCTGCACGGAACTACTTTCTTACCCTACATATAAGGAAAAAGGTACAGGAAAAAAACTTTAAATTACATTCAGGAATATTATTTTTTAAGATTAATCAGGATAAAAGCCCAGGACTTTTTTAAGAGCCAATAAGCACAGCTAATAAAGGACTCTATTTCATGTTCACAGGAGACTGCAAGACACCACTTGCATCTCTTTTTACTAAGTATTTCAGCTGCTGGTCCCCAACAAACATTAGAGGTGAGAAAACCAATGCTTATGATGGAGACTACAATAAGAAACTGGAACACTAAGACAGAAAAAAAAAAAATCAACAACTAAACCCCACTCTAAACTAACAACAAGAAGAAAAGTCACTTGTTGGACAAGCTTCCTTTCCAAGACCAGAGTTATCCAGCAGGTTATAGAAAGGAACTGAACAAAGAAAGAAGCAAGCCATGACTCCAAGAACGGTACATATTCCTGAAAAAAAATATTGACTATTACCCTTTGTCCTCTGATGCAGAAAAAAATAAACAGTGAAAAACCCCTCAAAAACCCAGAAAAAAAATAAAGTAAAAAACCCCACAGAAACCACACTGTTGGCTAGAAGCCCATTATCTAAATATGCAGTTTCTTAACATGTGGATAAATTCTTTATTATCTACACTATCTTTTTCTACACTCTCCTGCTTTTAGGCCCACAAATTCTGCCTTTTTTTAATCCCTGCTTTCTGTACTTGAAAATACTTCTTAAACAAAAACATAAACCTCCGAAGCAAGCAGCAATTCCATGACTTAAAGATAGTAAAGAACTTGTGAATTAATTGCTGTAGAATAAGGTAACAGAACTATATTTTTTATAATACATATTTATTTTCTTCTGCTAAACATTACTGATGCTTGCAGTATCAAACCCACTTTGCCTCAAAGCTTCATAAGGAGCATTTTGTGTTCACCTGCATCCAACACAAGACCAAATAATGTTTTTGAAGTAAGTGCTTTATTCCATTATTATGCTCTGTAATATTCTTAAGAATTTTTTTACCCCTTGAGTGAAAATGTTTTTCACCTTGTAATTCTTTGGTTTGTTCCCAACATTGCTATGAAATACCTACAAACTAAACAGATGCTCTCTCTGTATTTGTTTTACTGATAGCCAAACCAATACACTCAACTAGATTCAGACCCAAAAGATATTCAGATGTGTAAACAGAATCCAAATTAGACAGAAAGAGACACTTCCATCCATGCCCCCCACTCACTAAACCTCACTGAATTATGTGCCCTGCCAACCCTACCTAAACAACTCAACCCCTGAATGAAACTGAAGTACAATTATTTTACTACAGAACATGTATGGCTGCTCTCTTCATGGTCTTTGTGAGAGGAAAGACATCTAACAATCTCCAAGTAATACATATGAAATATAGTCTATGTAGAGTACTATATACTTGCTTAACTAACAAAGTGGAAAAGACTGCTTTTTTTTTCCTGAAGTTACCAACATTTTTTACCATAAGACAGGGGATACTATATGTATCACTAAAAAGAAAGGTTGCAGCTATTACAAGTACACCTGTACCACAGATTACTTCAAACTCCATTTCCCTCTTGTCCTGCTGTGCACAATATCCTCCATATTATTTCAGAGGTACAGATCTTTAATAACTCAACTGCAGTAATAACTCAATCAAGCTACAAACTACATTTCAGTATTCAAAATTTAGAATGGCCAGAGACAGAATGAAATCTTAGTGCTACTTACCGCATCCTTTTTAGTCCATACGTGTGCTCCTCTTGTGCAGCCTTCTTGAGCTAAAAATGTATTGAAGTCAGAAGTTTTTCTTTTACAACAGCTCCAATACTTCATCCTTGAAAGTTTGCAAAGTAATTAACAAACAGTATTTAGGACACCATTTACTGTGAATACTTAAGATCTTTCCTTTATGCAATATTAGTGTTAACTTAGTACAACCTCTTCCAGCATTGCCAGTTTCGACTGAAGAGGGAATACAAGGCAACATCTACACAGAAAGCATGAACATGTAAAAGACTAGTTAAAAAAACTGAAGTTAAGTGAATACTAACCCTTCATGGAATATGGGTACACCAGAATGGTATATACATACTTCTTCTGTGCTGTGTGGTCCTTCGTATGTCTAATAAAACAAAGCATTTAAAGTGTATTACTGTTCCAGGATTTGGACCAAAGAAAACAAAACAAAACACGACGCACAACAGAAACATTGACCAAAGTACTACAAAGCTGTTGGGTAAATAATCTAGACCTAAAGGCTTGTCCAGCTTTCCAAAGTAACCATTTGCCCTTCGTTCACAGAAGGTTCCCTGGCACTGCTAAGATGGTGTATGTTGTATTAGTTCAATGGCATATATCAACAGTGACACCATCTATGTTCATAAAGGACATGTTAGATCCCCAGAGATACCTATCTTTAAAATACTTTGAATATTCAGAGAAACCAACTTAACTGGAAAATAAATGAAGTTTATCATTCATAAAACACATGGATTCTCAAAAGGAAGTAAATTAAACCATATACAATTTAGCCACTGAATAGCATATCTGTTCTTCCTAACACAAGTTAGTTAACTTCCTTAAAGTTCTCCTCCCACCAGAGCTTCAGCAGACAATGGAAAATCTGCCAGGTGCCCAGTGAAATACCTATTTAAATCCTACTGTCCCATTCTGTACAACACAATGGTATCAGTGTAAAAACCTTTCACTTTAAATGACTATGTAATATGACAACTCACTTTGGTGCTTGAAGCATTAAAACACTAACTTTGTGATTCTTCTGGCAGAAAGAATTAACTGGTAAGATCTGTAGATGCTTCTGACCTATACACAGATTAACAGGAGCAACTCAAGTGTTACCAGTAAGCTATCACTTACCAGTATTTTATTTAACATTCTAAGTTGACACTCATCAGTAGCATGAATTTGGCAAGCTTACTAATTAGAAGTTCAGGACAGGCTTATAAAAAGTAAACTTAGACTTATTGTGCACACAGTCAAAACAACCCACATTTGTCCATGCTGAAATGTGTTATCAAACATTCATTCATTAAACCTGAAGGACTTTGTGCCTTTTCCAAATCAACTTGCAGCAAATGAAACCCCAAAACTGCTCACTTAATAAACAGCTGGGTTTAAGAGTAGAACTGACCCACTTACTTTTGAACAGCCTGCGTTTTTACATGCCGTCCCAATCTTGATCTCATCACTGTCTTCCTCTGCAAACAGAGTATTATAGAAAATAGCAACTGAATTGTATTATGTACTAAATTGTTTTCACTAAGAATTAAAACAAGCTGAGGAGTAGATTAGAAAAAACCTCCCTCTCAAGCTCCCTGGCACCAAAGTCTACCAGAGAGGTATGAAGAAACAGAAATTATGCAAACATTCCAAAAGCTGCATTACCTATGCATCAAACTCTAGGTTCTAAACCTTCACACATTTTAAGTGGGGCAAAAAAATACTTATGAAAAGGATTATTACAATCATAGGGGAAGAGAGTAGTCATTCATCTTGTTCAGTTTTGTAAAACTAAGAATGTAAAAGGCTTCAACTGCTGCCTATAAATACACACAAGGAAGTAATTTGGATACCATGGAGAAAGAGGAGCTAAATTAGTTTGGCACAAGAATAAAAGAGCATAAAATAGCTACAAGTGTAGGTTGAAATTAGAAAGTGTTTCTTAAGGAGCTATATAGTTCTGGAACAAAATTCCAAATAAACTGTGGGAAGAAGAAAGATGAGGGACAACCAAACAGTATTCAGAGGAGTTTCATCGGTTTATGAAAAGCTTTCTATAACATTGTGTTTGCAGTAATAGGCATAGAATTTATTTCTTGAGAACTCTCAGTCATTCACATTATGTCCAATCTAACCAGGAAATCTTACAAAACAAAGTTCAAACAACATCAATGACAACACACTGCTCCTGATACCCAGGTACCCATGTTAGTCACATTTAAACTTTGATTATCATTCCCTAGACTGGAAGATTATTTCCCAGATTATTAAGTACAAGAACATAATTATATGAAATAACCCTTCAGAAACAACAAAAACTGGCATTTAACTTATCTGTGTAACAATTAGCATCATATACCTACTCAACCTCCCTACATCCTTACCTTTTTTCCCTTCATTTTCTGATGACAGTTTCAGTTTATCCAGAGCTTGCTTCAAGGAAGCTGACACTTTCAGCTGCAAATTTGTCATAGGCTCATCTGGGCTAAAACAAACAAACAAAAAAAAAAAAACCAAAAACCCACGCCCCCCAAAAAATAAATAAGTCCATGTATTCATGCCAGCTTCATGAAAAAGAACTTACAAAAGACAACAAAGAAGTAACTTCTAATCTGGCTATAAGAATCTTCCTTCCAAACCCCCCTCACAACAACAAACAAACTACATTTGTAAATGCCAATCCTTACTGTTTATGGAAAAACAGATTAGAAATTTAGAAGGCAGTCTTGGCTCTCATCAGGAAGTCCCTAAATAAAAATATATCAGAGGTACTGAAGAATCTACAAACACCCTACGATTATTTTTATGACTGTTTAAAACACCAAACACATGAGGCCATAGACCAAAACTTTTGATTCCTATGAAGCTAAATGCTGGAAGATCCAGTACTTCCTCATCATAATCAGAATTCTTTTATCTCATTTTGAAGCTTAAGATAGCATCATCACTGCTACCAAACACAAGCTCTTTTAAGGTTAATTTGGGGGTTTTTACACTACGTGAAATGTGCAACCCTGAATGACCCCACTGAGCTTTAACTTGGCCAACTGCCAATAAATTTGGCAAAACGTAGTTTCATATACTGTACCTTGGCCTTTTAATTGTTTCCAATGGTTTTGGTGCCTGAATTATGTGTTCTTGAAATCTGGGTTTCAGTTCAGCTAGCTCTTTTCGTTCAGAGGTAGTTTTGACTTCTGGTTTAACAGGCTCAGGAGGTTTCTCACTGTTATGGAGACCCTTTGTACAGCCCTGTTGTGGAAAGCATATGTTCACATATATGCAGAGTAGCTTGTGTGCACAATTTTAAATTAGCAAAAACGGCAATGTTTTCTTATTTCTTCTTCTCCATAGTCTCCTTTAGCTTACTCAAACATTGGCTGCAAAGGAAATACTACAGCTGAAGTGGAAAATGCCCTCATTTGGACATAAATGAAAGAAAAATGCATACTTTCTGTAATCAAGCATGGCAGCAAAATATACCGGCCTTCCTTCATTATTAGCAAGTAGTTCTATCAAAACCTATTTAGATAATTACAACCATTAAAGCTTGAAAATGAGACTTGACTTCAGCATTATATGAAGAAAAATAGTGCACGTAAGATTTAAGACAGTTTTAACAAAAGTAGGCAAATTTAAAACATGTAAGCACATGTACCATTTAATATTAATTACTGCAATTTGACAAGTATAAAAATTATAAATAATGAGTACATACCACAATGCTTAAGAAGTCAGAAAAGTCTGTTGTTCTTCTCTTACAACATGACCAACCCTATAAACATTTTGAAATAAAAACAAAACAAGCATGACTACCGTACTATGCAACAGCTTATAAAAAGCAAAATAGTAATTATATTACTTTACAAAATGTGTTACATCATTATTAGAGAGTATTTTCTTCCCTCCTATGGACAGTATTATAATCATTTGCATTTTTAAAAGACAGAAAAATCGGTTACAGTTGTCATTTCTAGTTCACTCATACTGCCTTAATCAGAAAGTTCAGTAAACATGAGGCATTATTGACATGACAAGTTAGGTGCCAACTCTGTACAACGGAAAAGTGAAATGTTACTTTATGTCATAAAGTAACACATAAGCAAACTAAATCAATACTATACCTGAGACTAGGCTTACCTGTGGCACAACATACAGGCCCTTTTCCTAAAAGGACAGGAATTTTTCCTTTCCTTGAGCATTAGTCAAGTCTTTCAACTGCTGATTTCCCACCACAAAGCTGGATATGCATTGCATAGCCATTTAACTACATCAATCAAGAACACTTATTATATAAACCAGAAATCCAATTTTAGAGAAAATTGTCTTGACACTGTAAATAATGTATCTCAGAACTCAAAGAACCTTATTAAAGGCAACAATTTGACTAATGTACCACCACTTTGAAAGCTTAAGTGGTGCAGCACAATGGGTTCTTCACAGGTGGTTCTAAAATATCCTCAAAACATTAACCATTGCCACAGTTGAGAAAAAGATTCACCCTGACCACTTAGATTATCTACAATTCATAGCAGGAAGAAAACTGCTCATACAAAATTATGGTAAGTTTTTAATTAAGCCAAGAGATATGATAAGGAGAAGGAGGAAAGTGGTACTTGTTTTATAAACAGTGCAGATATAAGAGAAAGAGGGAGTAAATGTAAGCCTCTGAGGAAACTGTATAAACTCTGTCTTTATAATTAGGTTGAAGATTTATGTGCTATGCTATGAGTACAACTCTAATTTTGTACAAAACAGACTGCCATAGTCTAAGTAATTGTATCTTACTTGATCTAAAAGCATTTGTCCCAATTTGCCAGTGGCACACAATGGCTGACTCCAAGTCATGTAAGCAATTGCTCACAGAAAACATGCTGCCCAGCACATATGCAGAAGGTTTCACAAAGCCAAAAGACACCACACTGTGGGATGAGATGCACTGCCAGCAGAAGCAGTTCCTACATGCCAAGAAAAAACACACTTGCCCCAAAGCTCAGTTAAACAGCAGTTCAGTGTTCTAAGAAAAATCACTTGAGCTACATCTGTATTAACACAGTAAAAAGTGCCAGGCTGTTTCTGGACACCAGACTTCTGACTATCAACAATTAAATTGTTAGAATGATTTCTAGTACCGTTTTGGCAGTTGTGTTTCAAATAATTCCCTGCAAGCACTTTGGATGCATTCAGTAGATCCTGAAGGAGGAAAACAGTTTAACACAAAACAAATATGGGCTGCGCCATTGGCCCAGGCACTTGAATTCAGTCACAAGTATATTCAATGCACCATTGAGCATGTAGCCCAAGAATCCTGGACAGCTGCATGGGTGACCAGTCCCAACTTAACCAACACTATCATTTGGCTGATTAAATGAACACAATTATTTTTTACAATAAACAAATGCTGTCTACTGTATACATTAGTGCTCTAGCCACATAACACCACAAGCAGCTAGTCTGATTTTCAAACAGGTTAATTAACCGAAAGAGGATGACACCTCTCAATGGCTCCACAGACCTATTCAGAGGACCTAATTAAACTGCTGAGAGACCTAAAGTCAATCAACAGGAAACATGCCATAGAGACTCACATGGTATTTAGACCATATGAGTACAGGTTTTAATTTCTTCTTCAGGTTTGATGTGCGATTTTCTAATATCATGGGACTGCTCAAACATGAATGGCTGAACATCAGTTTCTCAACACTGAAAGATTTGGAATTAAAAAGGAAAAGTAGCACACTGTTTTACACAAATAGGGAAAAAAAGGGTAAGACTTAAAAGGATAGTTGCATACTTACCTTGAGAGCATCATGAAAGACTGGCACACCTGGATGATATGTGCATGAATCTAGAAGAAAATTACTATTATTAATATTCAGGCATAGCAAGAGTCTTTATTCACCTGATCACAAACCCAGCAAAAATTTCACACTTGCAATTCATGTATGCCATGAGCTGCCCCACTTCCCCAAGTGCACATAATTACTAAGAAAAATACAGACTTCACACAACAAGCTTTCTGAGTGCATATATTAAATTTAAATAATCTGAATTTTTTTCTTCTGTATTATACAACACAAAGCAGAAAGTATCTAAGACAAACTTCAACTTTCATATGGAGCAAGAAAACTTTCTACAGACCATCCCTTGCTTTCATCAATAATCAGTCCTTACTGATAAATCAGCAAGTAAAAATGTGGCCCTAGGCCACCCAACAGACAGAAAATACTTGTTTACAGCATCAAATACATCTATTTGCACCTGATCAGCACTTTCTATCCAGAAGCATTCTGTTAAAAAGTTCTCCTAACACAAATCTTGAGTTCATGACTTTATCCATGATAATTAGCTTGCTCTTTTTACAATGTTTGTAGTATCCCAGGCCACCTAAGGACTTGCACCCAAAGGCTAGTCTTCCACACACAAAATTCTGACATGTCAATATGACTAATTATTAATAGTGTACAACTGAAACACAACCTCCATTAAATGAATTGTTTATACTCATTTATCAACATTGCACAGCTGTTCGTTTTTTACTTACGTATTCCTTTGAAGTGTAAGATAATTGCTCTGATTATAAAACTTCTCTGACATTTACTGCATAGACAGTGTTTTATTGACCTGACTCTAAAAGCAGGGGGAAACACTAGCTATCTTCTAGCTTTTAAAGCAAAATGTTTGTTGTTAGAAACACTTAAAATTACAAGTGACACAAATTATAACGATTCCATAATAAGCCTCCATAAAGTACCAGAGTGAGAAATATCACAATGCACGTAATAGGAAGCAAAAGAGAAAAGTGATAACAACATTATTAATAATCTGCCTACACATATTAAATAGTCAAAAAACCCCAAACAAGCCAAACTATCTTGTTTCCATCTTTTTTTTATAAATATGTATATTTTGAAATCTTGTTTAGTAGAATTTTCTTACATTTTATATTCAGTGCTTCAGTCTAATGCACTAATACAGTCTGACAGACATCAGTTCCCACCTTAACTCAAGAGGCACATATCTTGGGACATTAGTCCTTCAGCAAGACTTAAATCTATCCATGAACTTCTATCAATTCCTTCAGCTTCAGTACGAAAAAAACTAATACTGCTAAACCTCACAGGAAAATGAAACAAAAAACACGGTTACTTTGTATAACGAACACAGGACTTCACTGATAAATCAAATAAAGGTAGAGGAATATTTCTAATTCCTCACAAGCATGTGGGTTTCAGTGAGAGAGGTATTATCACTGCAACCATCTCATGATCAGTTAACTCCGGGGCAGCTATCCTCCAGCTCAAGTCAGATGCAGACAAATGTCTGTTTGCCCACCTCTCCAAGGCCAATCCTTTTCCCTTGCTCCCTGGAGCCTGCTCTCCTGAGGGCTGTGCATGCTCCACAACACAAGATGCCAAGACAAGGAGCTCTGCAATGCCTCACAGAGAGGCAGTGGGAATTACCCACTAAGCAGTCTGACCACTCTCCCCCGCTAGAGGACAGAAAAACATCAACATATTTTCACTCATACCAAGCCCAACAACTCATATCTGAGTAGAATTTACATTCATAGAAATATCCCACTAGGTGGGAAAAACTGGAAAATTAAGACACACTGACAGTCAGTCACCCAAGCAGTTAAAAGCATGTGGTATGATTTGTATGAGTTCAGAATCCAACCTTTGGTTGCTATTATAGTTTTCACTTGGAAAAAAAAAAAAAAAAAATCAAGTTCCTCTCCACCTGTCTTTAACCAGGAAAAACAAAGTATTTAAACGCAAACCATTTTCTCTCACCCTCAAATAATTTTTGGAGATGCAAGTACTACAATTTTTCAGGTTCTTGCTGTTGTTTATTTGAGGGGTTTTTAATGCTGACTTCATACTCAAACTGATCCTACTGTGCACACACTGCTATCACCTTCTAAATCCTTGCTGATTCCTTGAAGCACCTTAAGTACTTTAATTAAATGTCAAAGTAGAAACTTGCATGTGTCACACAAACTTAGGAGGTATTTACAACAAAATCCCGTGGAATTGTTGAGGATGAAATGATGTATCCCTCTACACACGACCTGAAAACTGACCTGCTATCCTATGGGAATACTCCAATATTCCACGAACTAGACTGTGCAGCCTCAAAGCAATGGAAACTCATTAAGGCTCATGAACTTCACTCAGTACCTTGAGAAAGATGATGCCTTTGAGTGCTTGTTGAAGTTAGGAAGCTAATTCCACTGAATTTCTCACAGTGTCAGAAAAAAGCATAGAAAACAGGACAAACATGGCATGGCAAGAGGTTGTAAGTAGTTCACAGAAAAAAGAAAGGCTCCACCTGAGAAACATAAAGCTGTGGGGAAGACAGAGGATTGAGTGCTCTTTATATCAACAGAGTTTGAACCGTGGAGACAAATTTAAAGAAAACTGACTCTGGCCAGACAGACTCCAAAAATCTAAACTACCATTTCTTGCAACTGTGTATCTCCACAAATTCTCACATCACCTCAGAAATAAGCAAAAGCAAATTTTCATTGGCTCTGTGATCACAGTGACCCTCCTGCAGGGGCAACATCACTAAGTTTGATCTAAGAAAAAAGGGCATAAAAAAACCCACAAAAGAGTATGTGTTTCTGTTCTGACAATGGACCAAATTAAACCACATTTTTGCCTATAGCAAAAAAAGCTGCATTATGGTCAAGAAATCAAGACGACATGTAACATACACAACTTCAGTCTGATTTTGCACACTATCTTTTCAACTGCCATAAAGCAGTACTGCTTTCAAACCTAAGCCAAAGTGTGGATGTGCTACCTCATACCATTGTTTTAGTGACAAAATGTGACCTGGCCTTGAAACAGATATGTTAATATAATAATTCATAGATTAAAAAAAAAGAAATAAATGAAAAACCTGCAACCTCTTTTGAAGTTATGCTCTAACTTCTATGTCAGATGCTGTGCCAAGTCTGTAACAGTATGGATTAACTAGTAGTGAACGCACGTGAAATTCGTACCTTGCCAGCCATGCCACAGACGAATTCATAACTGTGCTCAGTCACAACTGCGAAGGCATAACTTCAATGCTTTCCCTCAGGCTGTTTTTTCTGCCTCTCTTTAAGAGGCATACAGTCCTTCATGTCAGCCAGTTGCTCATTTTTTGGTAACAATGAGAGTTTCTACAGAAAATACATGCATGTATTATTTCAGCCATCAGATTCTGAAGAGAACATTCATGGCCTCTCACATCAATCATCACTATGGCAATGTCTATACTGCAGGCTGAATGCAGACCAAAACCACAACAGATCCAAAACCACTTTGGGGACCAAAGGCCCCAAAGTTTCTATCTAATAATTTAAGATAACTTCCTAATAATATGTTTTTTCTAAACTTAACTATTAAGAGTATGTTAATGCAAAAACTCATTAAAGGGATTTCTATTTTGGTGTTTCACATATGTACTGGCTTTAAACCTCACAATATTCTAGAGGAAAAGCCAAAACACAGTTCTGAAACCAAACCAAACATTTGAAATTGACAGCATTACACAGCTAAATGTGGATTTAGCTGTCTAAATAGTAATCATTCCATTGACCTTGGAGAAGACAGAATCACTCTACTGCCACAGAAGATGTAAAACTTGGGTCTCTGAAGTGGTCTGTGTATAACTACATTTACTTTTAGAACTACTTAGTCTAGGACACAGCGATTCCAGGAAGTGTCCAAGTCACTTGACAAAACAAACTTCATCTCAAGAAGTTGTTTTCCCCAATCCCAGCACCACAGAGTTAGGACAGGGCCATGCCAATCAGACTGAATCTACTACAACTCGATTACAAACGTACGAACAGATTGTAGAGAACTATTATTTTTATAATGAGTACAGATCATGAAGCCCTAGTGGGATTGTTTATTATAAATACCACTATCTGCTTTGTCTTTTGGGGCAAAGAGTGCAGGGGATGGTGGCAGGAGAGATCACTAAGTAGAAGCCCTACACAACTTTGGCTGCTTCTCCTGTTACTAACATTAGCAAGTCCTACTCAATGTCCTGCCCCTCTCTTGGGAAATACTTAGCTCAGAAAAATAAACACGCATTATCACCACTGTTCTTAATCACAGAAAAGGCACAGGCTAGAACACGTCAGCCTACTTCTGACCTTGTGGGTCACTAAAAATTAAACTAATGCAGAGAGGGCATTCCAGAAATTCAGCTGGTATGAGTTACTTTACAAACCAGGCATGAGGGCAAGCCTACTGAAAACTCAGATCTCCCTTCTGCAGCCTCCATGGAATCATGAACCCCCCAAATGATAGAGCTTTGAAGAGGTTCCGTCAGGTACTGGATTCCCAGAACACATAAGTGAAGCACTGTTCGAGCCACCTGGTGAAGCAGATGTATCATCACAACTACCTGCTGCGAGTCCACAGACTAGAGCTAAAAGAAAATAAAACTAACCCAAAAACCCGCGGGTAACGGCTACACATGTAACACCCACAGAGGCCCCGGACGGAAACGCCGCTCAGGGCCTGCAGTTTTCACCTGCAGAACACGCGACAGCGGCGAACAGACCCGCTCAGCACCTCCCGCACCGCTGGGCACTGCCGGGTTATTACCGAGGCGCCGGAGCCAG